GAAGATGAATAGCACATGGCCTCCACCCTTAAATTATTACTTAGGGCCAGGCGCGGTGGCTCACGCCTGTAATCCCAGCACTTTGGGAGACTGAGGGCAGCAGATCACGAGTCAGGAGATCGAGATCATCCTAGCCAATATGGTGAAACCCTGTCTGTACTGAAAATACAAAAAAATTAGCTGGCGTGGTGGTACATGCCTGTAGTCCCAGCTACTCGGGAGGCTGAGGCAGGAGAATTGCTTGAACCTAGGAGGCAGAGATTGCAGTGAGCCGAGATCGTGTCACTCCACTACAGCCTGAGTGACAGTGCGAGACTCTGTCTCAAAAAAAAAATTAAGAAGGATGAGTTAGAAATATATGCTAAAAGTATATGGATGGTAACAATTAGGCAAAAAGGGGGAATAGTCATTTCTGCTTTGGGATATGGGAATACCTGTAAAAGCTTATTAGAGCAGGTGATTTTTGAGAAGGAGTTGTTCACTATGTAGCTGCAGATGGGCTGGGGCATAGAGGTGGCAAGGATGCTCAGTCTAGCCGGAACATCATTGCCAGTGTCATAGAGGACTAAGATCGTGACATTACAAATGCCTTAGTATGGGTAATGGGAAGGATGTGTGTGGAGTGGGAGGAGAAGATGCTAGAGAAGTTGTCAGGAAAGGTTTGACTTTATCCAGAAGATTCTTAAATGAGTAATTAATAAAATTAGGGAAAGATCTGGCAGGTAGAAGGTGACAAGATTCTAGTAAGAGGTATCAGTTTGCAGATGTTAAAGTAATCAAGATGGAAATGACACAGGCCCAAAGTCTCAAACTAAGTGACGAAAAATCAAAATGGAAATTAGGAGACAAAAAGATGAATTAGAAACAAAACACATGACTGATTTTGTGTGCGTGGTAAAGGAGAGGAAAGCATCAGGTTGACTTCCAGATAATATGTCTTGAAGAATTTTAGAAAATTCCAGTGCCATTTGAGGAGAAGTTGTTTTAAAAGGAATAATTAGTTTGCTGTTTGAACTTGCTGAGTTTGAGCTGGTGAAAGATATCCAGAAAGATGTATGCTGTAGGCATTTGGATCTAGAACTTCAAAAAAGGGTTTACAGTTAAGAATTGAGCTGGGCGTGGTGGCTCACGCCTGTAATCCCAGCACTTTGGGAGGCCGAGGCTGGTGGATCACGAGGTCAACAGATCGAGACCATCCTGGTCAACATGGTGAAACCCTGTCTCTACTAAAACTACAAAAAATTAGCTGGGCATGGTGGCGCGTGTCTGTAATCCCAGCTACTCAGGAGGCTGAGGCAGGAGAATTGCCTGAGCCCAGGAGGCGGAGGTTGCGGTGAGCCGAGATCGCGCCATTGCACTCCAGCCTGGGTAACAAGAGCGAAACTCCGTCTCAAAAAAAAAAAAAAAAAAAAAAAGTATTGAGAGTCATCAGGATTGAATTGTGTGAAACTGTGGAAATAGATAGGATAATCTAGGAATTCAAGAAGAAAACTGTGGCTTGGTGTGGTGGCTCACACTGTTCATTCCAGCACTTTGGGAGGTTGAGGTGGTATCACTTGAGCCCAGGAGTTTGAGACAAGCTTGGGCAACATGATGAAACCCTGTCTCTGCAAAAAATACAAAGATTAACTGGGTATGGTGATGCATGCCTATAGTCCCAGCTACTCAGGAGGCTGAGGTGGGCGGATCATCTGAGTCCAGGAAGTTGGGGCTTCAGTGAGCCATAATTACTCCACTGCACTCCAGCCTGGGTGACAAAGGGAGACCCTGTCTCACAAAAGAAAAAAGAAGAAAAGTGTTAAGGACAGAGCATGAACACTTTTGGAAGTGGGTCTGAAAGAAGCATTGGTAAAAAAGACTCAAGAGGGAATGGTCTGAAAATAATCCTCTGAGTTTGTCAGTTAGATGTTGGTGACTATTGTTAAGGCAGTTTCAGTAGTGTGTTAGGAGTAGGACCCAAATTACAGTAATTCTGTATTGTATTTATGCATTGAATTATACCTTTAAATATATTAAGACTGGGCGCAGTGGCTCACACCTGTAATCCTAGTACTTTGGGAGGCCGAGGTGGGCGGATCACCTGAGGTCAGGAGTTTGAGACCAGCCTGATCAACATGGAGAAACCCCTTCTCTACTAAAAATACAAAATTAGCCTGGTGTCGTGGTGCATGCCTATAATCCCAGCCACTCAGGAGGCTGAGGCAGGAGAATCGCTTGAACCCGGGAGGCTGAGGTTGCACTCCAGCCTGGGCAACAAGAGCGAAACTCCGACTCAAAAAAAAAAAAGGAAAAGAAAAAATAAATATTAAAATTAAAAACATATATCAATTTAGAGAATTAGATAACCAGCTCTCATGTGCCTACTCTACAGTTTAACTTTTTAATTTTTAAATAATTATAGACTCATAGGAAGTTGCAAAAATAATACAGAGAGGTCCTCCTATATTGACTTCACTCAGCTTTCCCCAGTCACCATTCAGTTTAACAAGTGTCTTGGGTTTGTTCAAATGTTAATGTTTTGGGATGGCTTATGGAACCATACAGGGAGTATGGATTTGGATTCTATACCCCTATCTGGTGCAAGCCTGGGGTTTTCTCTCATTGGTGCCTCCTTCCCTGCCTCTACTAGGAGCAGAGCAGATGCAGACTGCTTTGCTGTTTCTCAGAATGTATGGGTGTAGCTTTTCCAGCTCCCTTTTTACATATTGGGGAGCTCTTTTCAGGATTTTGGCTCAAAATAGGGATTTCACTTGTAGTCCTCCCTTGAAATAAGCACAAAGGTGGATTTTCTGGGTCTATAGGCCCCATATACCCTTATAGACTGCCTTGGTGTCAGCTAAGATGACATCTCTGGCTTTGAGTTTCTTCCTTTTTTGCACCAGGAATTTCCCTCTCCCTGCTTTTCTCTCCCCTTTGG